CATCTTATATCTCCCCCTTTTTAAGAAAAGAAGATAAAATAAACAATACTAATTGTCTTGAAGTAACAAAAACAAAACAAAAACATCAACAATAACAATCCTCCTCGACCAAAATCCAGATCATTCCATAATTTTATTCCCTGAATTGATGCACATTGTTCCTTCAAACTGGTTCAAAATTTAAGTTTCACAAACATCTCAATCCCCTTAAGTTTATAGTAACTCTCTCTTTTAACAAAATTTTACTGGAAATTTAGAGGTAATATGTTTTTATTAGCCTTAAACATAACTTGCAAAATATTAAAATCAAACAACTCATGAAATTTTAATAATTTCAATTGACAAAACACTACATTTGATGGAAGACTGTAAAGTTTCACAGCTCTTTTCTGTAAAATAAAAATGGGATTTGTAATTGTTTTACATGCTTTCCCCCCGTATTTCAATACAATAAATAAAGTGTGGAACAATAATTGCATTATACAACATATACAGAGATTTATCATTGATTAACTCTCTTACTTTATACAAAACTACAATAAATTTAGGAATTTTTATTCTTAAATTATTTAAATGAGTTCTCCATGTCAGCTTTTCATTTATGATAATACCCAGAAATTTCACCTCACTGACTCTACAAATTCCAACACCGCCAACTTTAAATGGGATATCAATAGTTTTCTTTCTTTTGCTAAATATCATATAGTTCGTTTTATCTAAATTTAATGATAGTTTATTGAGTTGAAACCAAGATTGTATTTTGACAAATTCTATCTGCATCATCCCCATCATTCACTCTATATCTTTAACCAAACAAAAAAAGTTGTATCATCTGCAAACAGAACACATTTAAAAAGCCCTGACACATTTACCAAGTCATTCATACAAAATAAACAATTTTGGTCCAAGTACAGAACCTTGTGGAACTCCACATGTGATGTTACAGAGTTCAGATCTTACATTATTTATTTGTACAAACTGTTTCCTATATTTTAAATAACTTGATACCCATTGTAGTGCTGGTCCTCTGATACCATATTGATTCATCTTTCCAAGATGAATACTGTGATCAATGGTGTCGAATGCTTTCTTGAAATCAACATAAATACTAACACAGTATTGTTTTTGATCAACAGCAGTTGTTATTTGTTCAATTAATTCCGTTAGAGCCATTGATTTTGACACATTTGTTCTGAAACCATGCTGTTATTTAAAATGTTTTGTTTATCAATAAATTGATCTAATCTGTTTACAAATAAATGCTCTAAAATCTTTGAAAACTGTGGCAACAAGGACTATACGTAATTTATAAACATTTCTCACCATTCTTATAGAGAGGAATAAGGCTATACCTTAGGTTTTAGGTTAGAAAAATTTAATATTAACATTTTTTTAAGATATGGAGTCATAAATATAATATGTTTAGCCATGAATATAAAATACTAGGACCTATTGTAAGATGCTAAGTCACAATTATAAGTTGGGAAGTCCTAATTACAAAGTTTTAAGTCGTGATTTTAGGATATCATATAGCCTATGTGTTAATAAAGCATAAATATAAAATAAGTATTTTTTTTTACCAGATACTAGGTCATGGTTATGTAATTGAAAGTTCCAAATATCAGATTTTATGTCAAATATATAAGATTTTAGGTCATGAAAAGCCATTTGAGAAAGGTAAGTATTATTTTACTTCAAATGTGTGGAAATGGGTTTCCATAAGTTTTGTGCTTCTTATACATTAAATGTTTCTTATGAATACAACCTCTTTTATGATACTTTTCTTTTCAACAAAAGTTTAACTTTTTTGACAGTGTATTAATCTTACCAAGTATAGACGATCTTCGGTCAAACTTTGACAGCGGTCCAGCGGACTTTCGGTCCGTGACCGACCCCCCTACTCCTCCTCCCCACTCCCCCCCGGTGGTGACGAGGAGTGGCTGGCCGGCTGTCAGCACGCGCTGGCCGTGGGAAAGTTCCCCAACCGGCGCTGATAACCAATCAGAGGCCGGCGGCCGTCTCCGGCGCTGGAATGAATGGAGCAATTGGTCGGGGCGACGGGCGGTCTGCGAGCGAGCGTGTGAACCTGTAATCCAATCCTGACTCAGCCCTGGAGGAGAGAGACACACGGGGGAGCACAGCCGCAGCCAGAGGAAGCCACCGAGTCTAATCTTACCCCACAGAGAGAGCTCGTGCACGGTGGAGGCTCCGTGGCCACTTCAAGGACCCTGTAAGAGCAGGCAGTCCAAATAATGCCCCCCACCCCCATCCTACCCCCTCTCCCGGGAGTCTCCACATCATCACCACAGCGCGGCTGGTGGCTCCCGCCGTGGTCACACTCCCCAAATAATTTGACAGATCTGCTGGTGTGTGTTTGTATACAGGCGGGGGATCATGTTACTGCATGTGGAGCCGGGCCGCTTTAGCCCAGGGGCTCCTGCAGAGTCCTCTTCAAATCACAGTTTATTTCTTAATGTAGGCTAAAACAAAAACAATTAAAAATTTTCTAAAAGAACATTACTGAAAACAAGTGCAAAAACTGTTTTTTTATTTTGTATTTAATTCACAAATGTTTCTTGTTGCTTCTGTGATGAGAATAAAAAAAGACAATTGTATTAAAATCTGTTTTAAAGATGTTCAAACATGTTTGTTTTATGTTCATCAATGTCTGGATGGATGGATGGATGGATGGATGGATGGATGGATGGATGGATGGATGGATGGATGGATGGATGATGGCTGGCTGGATGGATGGATGGATGGATGGATGGATGGATGGATGGATGGATGGATGGATGGATGGATAGATGGATGACGATGATGATGATGATGATGATGATGGCTGGATGGATGGATGGCTGGATGGATGGATGGATGGATGGATGGATGGATGGATGGATGGATGGATGGATGGATGGATGGATGGATGGCTGGATGGATGGATGGATGGATGGATGGATGGCTGGATGGATGATGATGGCTGGCTGGCTGGATGATAATGATGATGATGATGATGATGATGGCTGGATGGCTGGATGATGATGATGATGATGATGGATGGATGGATGGATGGATGGATGGATGGATGGATGGATGGATGGATGGATGGATGGATGGATGGATGGATGG